TACGGGGAAAGAGCACTTTCTAGTGGTTAATCCTCAGAAGGAGGAGGCAGAAGATGTCCACCTCTGCTATTGTTTTGCTGCCACTTAAGCCTGGAGTCCCAGGGCTTTGAAGCTGAATTAATTCATGTTTGCAGTGTGTCAAGACCCTGAAAAGTGCTATAGAAATGCAAAGTTAGAAGAACCCGGAGAGACTTAGAGTTAATTCCTTCTCTGCCACAGACAGAGGCCCAGATCTTCAGTACTATTCAGCATTTGAAATCATTGAGAGTTAGCTACCAAAATATTTTTGTGGGTCTGCAACCTAGTCCCTCCGTGCCTCAGTTTCCCAATTGTTATCTGGAGGTAATAGTACTTTCCTGCTTTACTGAGCAATACTCAGTCTACAACACTGGAGTGTGGAGGGGCACCTAACATACACCAATGTGATGTAGCTCCCTATGAAATGTCTCTTAAGAAAGGCATGCACCCCCAAGTTCTTCAGCTGGCATCCCAGCTACCAAGTAGTGAGGTAGCAAAGTGCTGAATGCTAGTAAGGTAAAGGAAGAGCCAACAAGGGTTCGGAGGGAAGGTCTACAGAGAATAATCACGGGAAAGTAGGGGGAGGGGGTGAATGTCATCCTTTAAAAAATGTGAACAGCAAACTCATATTCCAGTGAATTTAATTTTAACCCCAATTTCCCTTTCTATCCCCTTTCCATTTTGTGCTCCATAGGTTTCGTTAGCTACGACAATCCAGTCTCTGCGCAAGCTGCTATCCAGGCTATGAACGGCTTTCAGATTGGCATGAAACGCTTGAAGGTCCAGCTGAAACGCTCCAAAAACGACAGCAAACCTTACTGATCTTAACCCCAGGCGCTTACTGCTCTTATTTTAGCTTTCTTAGGGTAAGTCCCATGAGCAAACGTGTCCTCCACAAGGGGGGTTAAGGAAGAACATATTGCCAATCTTCAGCAAGAGACAGTTATTTTTACAGTTACCACTTCCATTGCCCCCCACTTGCCCTTATTCAACTTGGCTCCCGTTTCCTTGCCAAGTAATTACGTAGTTCTGTTACTGTGTTTAATTTTGTTTTGCAGCATAATTTATCTCCGTTTTTCTTTCTGGTTTTTTTTTTGGTTTGTTTTTTTTTTTTCCTTAAATAATGACATCTTAAAGTCTAAAAGCAACAATGTGCAATTTAACTCTGAACCCTGGTGCCATTAGCACACTCGGGTGGGGAATTGAAGTGGTTTTCTTATGTACGGAACCAACTTTACCAAGGTGGCACCAGCAGTTTATAGGCTAAACTCCTGCCAACTGAAGCACTTATTCTGAACCAACAATGATAAGTCTTTCCACTACATTAGCTTGTTTTTGAGAGAGATTTTAATTCTTTATAATTTTTTTTATTTTTTTTATTTTTTATTTTTAGGGGTTCAAATCAATGTGATGTTTTATTGGTCCGATATTACACTGGTTGTCTTGTAGTTCTTTTTTTTTTTTCTTTTTCTTTTTTTAATTCTTGGTTTTTTGGAAAGGATTAATGTAAAAAAGATTTAGAGATCTGTTTCTAAAGCTACAGGGTTTAAAATAAAAAAAAATAAAATAAAATGAGTGACAATACTTGATGTTTCTTGAGAGATAAATTTAATAATAATAAATAAAAAGAAAGCCACAGGCCTGTAAATTTTATTTGTAAAAAGCATTTCTATTTTTATACAAAATTTTTACTGCCTCAGAAATAATGGAAGTTATTTATTGCCTATTGTTAACTTATTGGATACCTAAAGAGCAGCTGTCTATGCTAGCTAGATACTTTGAAGTAGTCTCTAGAGTAATTGTGCCAAGAATGGGCGCTTTTTCACCGTTGAACCCTGCACCCTTTACAGTTCATGCTTTTATCCTCTTGTTTGTATTTGTCTGGTTATTTTGTTTGTAGTTTCCATTATCTAGTTTAAAGTTCGGTTGTCTGACTTTTTTCTTCCCCCTCCCCGTTATGTCACATTTGTTGAAAACGGTTCTTTCCTCTCCTCCTCTCCCCAAAGAGGAATCCATCTTCTCTAACTCCCTTACGATGGATTCATTTGGGGTTTCATTGTGCTGTTGTTGATGAGTATTGTAAGTTAATGCAAATTATGTGGATGGCTCATAGATTCTAATGATAAAAGATTTGCATTAGTTTTCTCCTGCACCCATAAAAGTGATTTTGTTTCTGCTGCATAGACTCTATGTAACTTTTTCCTCTTCCTTGTTTTTTCCCTAGACATCTCCATGCCCGTTAGTTCATCGTTTGCCTAGCATGTCCCTGTGGCGTCTCAAAAAAAAAAAAAAAAATAAGTTTCATCGTCCCGTCATTGTTTCTGATGTCTTTCTGACCTCACATCATATTTGGTTCTCCTACTGACCTTTGATCTAGTTTGACCTTTGAAATTTGCATGTGACCTCATCTAGCTATGAATTCTGGGAAGTCAATGTGAAAAAACATTGCTGCATTCATGCAAGACTGAAATTTATTATTAGACAAATTAATGATAGGATTTAAAAAAAAAACAAAAAAAAACCAACCTGTGGCAAAAATGTTTTTTCTTTCTTCTTTTCTTTTTTGTTTTTTTTTCTTTTTCTTCTTTCTTTTCATATATATATATATATATATATATATAAAAAAAAAAAACAGACTTGAAAGTATTATACAGGGATTGGCATTCTGCCTGGTCACTGGTGACAATAGCAATATGTGTCCAGAGGCACAGAATGTTGGTTTCTAACAGACTACTTCCAAAACAGTTTGAGAAAAAAAACTGTCTGATTTTAAGTCTCTAGAGGTCTGTAATAGTTTTTACATTTTTCAGGCAGTGTAAAGTTTTTTGATAAGGCCATTTTAGGTGGCTCACTTTCTCATTAAAATATATATATAGAACCACTTTTTGTAGATTAGTATAAGAAAATATTTACCCTGTTTTAGGGCAAATGCTACCTATTTGTGTCACCTTTTGCTGAACTGACTCACAGTTAGACAATCCATGGTTTAATGCACATGAAATTACCTATATTTTATACTGTTCAATGTACAGAAGAAAGGTTACTGTAAACTGTGTTACGTTGGTGCTTCTGTGAATTAAGTTGTGGTTTCATCATGAGTCTTATGGTCTTAAGTGTTCTATGTTTATAAAAGAGGAGTTTAAAATTGGTTTACTTGAACAACAACAAAAAAGGAGTTTCAAAAAACACAAAAAAAAAAAAGTTGTTTGCTTAAAAAATAAAAAAAATAAATTTCATGTGAAAAAAATTTAAAACTATTCCAGAATAAGTTTGTGTTGGCTTGTGACGCATTGATGTCATTTTTTTATTGTGGACAATTTAGATGTGTTTGTGTTCAGCAAAATGTGATCGGTTTTTCTTTTAAAGAAAAAAAAAAATCAGTGAAAATTATAGTGCCAAATTCCAAAGGTACTTTCTTCCTAGAGCTTCAGTGTGTTTCTTGTGTGAAGTAATTTGATAACATGGGTATTTTATTATGTGTTTTGTATAAATCCCTAATATTTAAAGAAAAAAGGAGGTTAAAAAGTTTGTTAACTTGCTATCCTGTGGTCTTGTTGCCTGAAATTGTTATTGTTTGTTATTTCTCTTTGATGTTTTTTTGTAAAACATTGTATAAGTGCCCATGTTTCACTTTTTTAACCACTCTGCACATCAATGCTGTGAAAGCAAACCTCACAATGTATTTTCTTCATAATGTATGGAAACCTCTAAGGTGAGAAAGTTTTGAACTTTTAACCCTTTCCACCCAGAGCTGTCTTGAGTGTTAATACCTTTTATACATTCACCATTTTGCTGTTTATTTTTATATATATATCTATATCTATAAATATATATATACTTAGTTTTTTGTGGTTTATTTAATACATGGTTGAAATCAGAAAAATGCACAGGGCAGACCTGAAGGACAAAAAAAAATAATATTTTACTGCTGTCTAAATTTCTTCTGTATCTATAACTAAAATTATTTAAAACAGTAATTAACTTGTGGTTTTCCTTTTTAGATTTTGGGGATTTTTGTCTTTTCTTAAAGAGCTTTTAATATGCTGCTGGAATATGCTATTCAGTATTAATAAAATAAAATAAAAAAACAATTCTTTAATTATCTATTGTGTGAGCTGCTCCCAAACCGGGGCAGCAAAGCCACCATTTGAAAAACCTTGAGGAGAAAAAAAAAGAAAGATATTTTTGTAACTAAATAAATGAACTTTTGCTTAAATCAGATTCACTAGATCTTCCTGGATGAAAATTCAATGTGCACTGCAATTAAACTACTTTTTAGGGAATAAAGTTTACATACACTGTAACACGTGGTGTTAGTTGCCATTATCTGTAATGACAAGATACAGCCCCCCCCATCCTCCAGACACTGATGTACCCGAGTAACTTTACTCGTACCAGTAGTCAGCGGAAATGCGTATGTGGCTTAAGTGGGTGTTTGCTAGATGGACTCCTCTATAAGGAACCTGAAAACAAATGCTGGTAGCCCTTCACTGCCTTTTCAGTTTGATTAGATCGCACGTCTCCTGCACAAGTAGTGAGCAGTGGCCAAATCTGGTTCTTTGCTACTGGCAGCTAGAATCCATTGCCAGTCCGAGGCGTGCGAGCAGCAGTCCCTGCTGCTGATATCAAAGTGCCATACCTTTTTCCATGACCTATTCCTAGCTGATTACTTTCAAAGCCTCTTAATATTAATAGGAAAGCCCGATATGAACAAGATGCAAAACGCAAGCGGTGCACCCTGTCTCTTGCCCCCAACTTAAATGCTTGTTTATAGAGAAGCCCTGGGATGGAAAGGACTAGCCTCTAGTGATGCAAAAAAAAGTTTTCTTCTAATAGCACATGCACTTATAAATAAATGATCTATTCTCACGTGTTTTTACTACTGCTGGGGCCTTCCTATACCCTTTGAGGGCTATTTTGTACTTCTTGCAGCAATTCTGCATCTTCAGAGTGTCATCTCTCTCACACCCACACACGCACACACACATTGTATTATATATATGCACATATATATATAATATGAGACTCTCGTTTGAATTTCGTAGACTCGCTAATTTTTCTCATTTTGCCCACCATATAAATTCCCAAGGCTTGTTCAGATCTTTTCAGTGCAGGAGGCCCCCGGGGAGATACTGCAGGTTTATGGTCCAGATAAAAAATGTTAATGGGCTACTTCCTCAGCTGGTGTCTGTCAGTGTTGTTCTGTAGATTTCAGAAAAGCTAATCTGAATTGCACCAGCCCGGTCTCTGCCCAAGCATTTTTAGTGGAGCTTTTTAAAAATATTTTCAGGCAACAAAGATGGGTCATTATTGGGAAAAGTTTGCAAAACAAAAAAAAATAAAGCGCATTAAATAAATAAAATAAAGCAAATAAAGCAAATAAAGCAAATAAAACACAGGCAGGCAGACACACACACACACACACACACACACACACACACACACACACAAAACCAAGTTTAAATCTCCTTAGAGATAATCTATCGACCAATTCTCTTTCACAACATCGAAAGGGAAAAGCTGCAAGGGTGCAAGGGGCCTAACACCAGAGGAAGAAAAACAAGGGAAATTGCTTTAAAAAAAATTCTAATCAAAAGAACAGACTAGTCATTTTTTTCAAACAAATTAGCTAATTGCAATGAAATGGCAGTCCTCAAAGGAGTAACAAGTTCATCTTTCTTTCACCATAGGGGTTATAGTTCCTTGGCTTGTGCAACTCTGGAATCATTTTACTGTTTCTGTTTTTATTATCTTAAGTGCTAATTAACAAAAGGAAAAAAAAAAAAAAACCTGTAGTTTCATTACCTTTTTGGATAATGTCATACAAGAAAAAACTATGTATTTGTGTTTTTTTTGTGCTGTGAGAATTGTTGTTTGTAGATTAATAATACTATCATTTTGTTTAGAATTAAAAACTAGTTTTTAAGTATTGTCTGAGAAAAGCCAAAGTTAATGCGACCTAGTGGAAGCTGTAAGACCATTTGAGTATCGTTTCTGTTTTATTGATGCATTTGGATTTTGTTGTTTGATGGAATTTGAGCCAAAAAAAAGCAGGCTTTCCTATTTCTACAACTTGATTGTACTTATGCATTTTGTACCAGTGGAACTTTTTATACTGGAGATTAAAAAACAAATGGAAATTTTTGTGGCTTACTCTTGTGGGCCCCCTGACCATGGCTGATTTTCGAGTTTGATTTCTGGTTGGTAGAAAGAGAGTTGGTTTTGTTTAGAGAATTAAAAACTTTGGCTTGATTTCTTTTTTTCCCTTTGCTTATATCTAGTGTTTAGAATTTTGTCTTTAAAACAAAAAAAGCAAGCGGTAAGTTTCACTTTTTATTCTGTATTGTGCAGTTACACAATAAGGTAATTAGAGTTAGGAGTACTCAGTCACTTTATGTGGATAAATGTATTAGTTACAACTTTAGGGGTTTGCTTTTTTGCTGTTTAGATCAGAGTTTTTTCTGATTCTTCTGTCCTCATTGTGAACATAACCGTGTAGTTGAAACAGTCAGACTTATTTTTGTAACGTATGTTATTGTGTGATGCAGTTTTTTGCTTCTGTCTCCAATATTAAACCATTTTCCTAATACTTGTCTCTCTCTCTCTGTGTTGTATTGTTGGTGGTCATTATGTGTTGGTAATACATCTGCACACCTCACTGTTTCACGTCCCTGTTTTTTTTTTTTAATTTATTTTTCTATTTGTCAGTTGTGCATAAAAGATACAGTCGATTCCAACTAAGTGAATATCTGATTGGAGGGTGAAAGAGGACTTGTACACTTTAGCTACACGCGGTTTCTATTACATTCTTTCCCTTAGTCGTGGTTTATCCCTTGGATGATCTGAGCGGAATATCGTCTTAAACTGACTGCCCTGCAAAATCACAGTGAAGGTGGCTTTTGTTAGTCTTCTGACTACAAAAGTTGATACACACAAACACAAGCAGAGAAGCTGAAAGCCATGAAACAAGTCTTTTTGCTCTGACGTTTCACTCTGTTTGGAAAAAGTGGACCGCAAAGATCAATTTTTAACAGTGATATATGTTTTAAAAATGACTGTGCCACTGCTTTGCAAACAGTCAAGAGTGGAAGGCTATAGCCCTGGGATTTCTTCCAAACTGCACAGTAATCTAGTGGCATATGGCATTAGTCAAACCCTCCTTAGAAGCTAATCACATTTTAACTACAGCTATGAGAGCCTGAGAAAAACCTACCAGGTGAACAAGTTTGCTATATGCAGTATATGTATGTAAAAAAAATAATAATAATAATTAAAGCTAAATGAGCCCAGAGAGAGCTTCTAAGAATTAAAGCCAGTAGAAAGGGGGGTGGGGAGGGCGGAAATCACTTGCTCAAATGAGCCATATTTTTTGTTGTGGGCTTGCAAAACAGCTCTTCCTCCGCGTGGCTAATAACATTACAGAAATCTCCAAGGGGAAAATAAATACAGTCCTTCCTCCCCACCGCCTCCTCTTCAGTCACCTTTGTGCCCACCCAGAGGCAGAACAGGGCAGCTTGGCACCTGGCAGAGCAGCTCCTGGGTGCGGGTGCTGGTGCTGGTGCTGGGGCCGGTCGATAGCAGTGGTGGCTGTCTTCGTTTCTCCCTCCCCTCCCCGGTCAGGGCTCACGGCTGCTGCCCCGGACTCCCTGCCTTAGTTATGCTACTGCACCAACCTCTTCCCCACCTCGACACACTCAACACTCTCCGCTTTCCCTAGGCCGGGGGCCCGGTGGAATCAAACCCATCCGCAAAGGGAACTATACAGTGTTTGGGTTCACAAAAGTCTCTCCTCACTCTTTGGTCTGAAATCAAAGCTCAAATTGGAGAAGGGAGAAATTGCAAGGGCCAGGGCAGGGGAGGGAGGAAGAAGCACTCCCACGTGCTCTCTGGAACTGAAGCCATACACCCACTTCCCTTTCCTTTGTCTCGCTTTCTGTGACGCTCAGGAATCAAAGGCCACTTAAAAGTGCTCTTATGAGATCCGATCAACACTCCTCCTTCTTGTTTCATCTTTTCTGGACTTTCCGTGCTCCGGCTTTGGCTCGCACACAGACACACCCTAAAACAGCGTCTTATTGAGAATGAGGTCATGGCGCACTGACTTTCCTCATGGTTTCAACAGCTCTGTTGGCTCCTGTGTTTGGAGCAGTTTTGAGATTTTCTGGTGACTCCTGGGTTGGCCTGGTTATGCTTTTACTTGCTTTTTACTTTTTCTTTCCCCCTTGACTCTCTCATCTGTGAGCATAAAAGGCAAGTAGGCATTGAGGTTGGAAGCCCAAGCTCAAGACATTGCCCATTGTGTTTATTGTCATCCTCCTGCCAGGGCCTCCAATGCAGTTCTGGTTTTAATACAAAACTACAGAAGCCCATAGGGAACAGTCCAGTGCTGGAGCAGACGACACGGTTTAGAGGTCTTAATAATAGGTCTTGAGCATCTCTTGGTGCTGAGTCTAGGAACGCTTATAGCAGTGATTTCAACTGAATAACTCCTGCTTTTCCCACGCGGGAGATTAGAATTGGGCTTCATAATTTGAAGTAGTCGTAGGCGAGTGTTTTATTTTTTAAATCCCCACAATCTTACAAGTAAGGAAGAGCGATTCCCGATTTATACCGTTGCAAGCTTAGACTTGGCTTCCTGATTTTAAGGCATGGCTCCTTTGAAACTCAACGCCTTGTTAGCGAGGAAGATAGAGTCGGATGCAAGCTCTTTTCTTTGCAAACACCATCTAAAACGTCCTAACACTACAATAAAGGAAAACATTCGGGACATAAAGCCCCGGTTTAAAAAAAACAAAAAAATCACCAAGAACCGGGAAAAACGAGTTCCCTAAAGCAGTGTGGCTCTACACTTTGTCCTGCTTAACTGCGTGCTTTTAATTTCAATTATGGGAGACACCTTGTGGTGTTAGCAAAATGTCTTTTTGTTAGCTGTATGTGCATCGCCATGGGAAATTGCCAGCCTGTCACAAGATTTGCTGATGAAAGTAGTCCATGCCAGAGTGTGTGTGTGTGTGCCTTTGCCCAGTTTGGCTTTTAGGTATTAGGCTAGGAAAAACAGCTTAACAAAATGTACTGTGAATCATTCCTGATAAGTGAATAAAGCATTGTGACCAAGCAATCAGATTATTCACTTATCAGGAATCGACTGTACTGCTAGTTCACTTGACTGTTTTTGTTCCTCATCTCTGTTGTAGTTTCACTACTTTGCTGTGTTCTGTTTTTCTCTCATGCTCTAGCAAAATCACTGGGAATATCCCTTTGTGTGACCATGCAACGTGCTATGGAGTGGAAAAAAAAAAATATATATATATATATATTAACAAAATCTATGCACTGCTATCAGGAACACAATACTGGATGTGTCTTATATATATTGAACTATAATAGTGCTCAATTTCTTAAATAAAGCTTAAGAAAGGATTCTGTTGTCTGTAAGATTTTATGAGCATTAAAAGAAAGAAAAAAAAAAGGGTTTCTAGGGTTCGGGTTTTTTTATATATGTCAAATCTCACTGGGTTTACAACTTAAACATGCTCGGGTAAATACGGCACGCAGAATTTGTTCTTCCCATGAGAGCTGACAACCTTGGAAAGTAACCTTCCTAAGGTGGATTAAAGAGTTTTACCCCACCGTGAACTGCAGCAAAACACAGCACTTCGCCACGTGGTTATCTACTGACTGTCAAAAAAATAAAACTCTTGACTCAGTAGCTATAATGAAGCCATATTTAAACTTCAGAAAACACTTGAAGTGCTACAGGCTTTTTGTAAACGGGGACAGACCTCTTGTTTCTGAATGGGAGCACTCTCTTTCTGCATATCTCAATGGAATATGGTTAGAATAAAACTGGGACCAAGAAGCCCAGACGAGTGGTGCTCAACAGCCAGAACCATCTTTTGAGCAAGAAAGAAGGCTTGGCCAGGCATGTTTTCTGCAGGCAGGCCTAAAGAAAAAAATTGATCATCAAAGATGACAGTTAAATTTTTCAAAGCGTTCTGTGGAATTGCAGCTATGTGGCTCCCATTGACTTTAATAGGAGTCTCACAGCTAAAACCCCGCCAAACGCTTTGAAAAATTTACCCCCCGAGGAAACAGAGCTGGCAAGAAGGCATAAGGTTAAAAGGATCCTTCCACCTCGATACCAGCTTTTGATGGAGATGTCCAGACTTGTCGCAATTAGCAAATTGAGGGCACTCTCCGCCAAGATAAAGCAAGGAGGAAGTGAACTACTTAATCATACCACGTCCACCGACAGGATCATAAAAACTCAGGGCTCGCTGATGATTTCTTGCAGCATTTTCTTTCTGCCGATGAGCCGGCCACACATGCTCAGCAAACTTAATTAAACAGTGACATCCGGTGGTCAGGCTCCTTAGAAATGTGTAAGCCCTTTGGGGCAGGGACCAGGAGCGGCAACCCGACCCACTGGCGTCGGTGTGAGTTGTCTCCAGTGGGACCTTGGCTGACCCCCACGTCTTCTTGTGCTGCACAAAGCACAGCAGGCTGGGACCCCAATCTGGATGGGATCTGTGGGGCACTGACACAGATTAAATAATAATAGAGGTTAGCCCCTGTTTGTATTCC